TACTACTATAGCTATATATTTTCCACTATAATGTATAATGTATTTCTGTGATACAGGATTTGTAATTTATATCTCCTCATGAAGCCGGTTATATGGAACAACACAATTGGCGATGTATGCATTATTTGCATTGCCGAACAGTTTTCTGAAAATAAAGTTTATTGTTAAAATCGCTTCCACTTCAGCAGTGACATTAACATTGGACAATCGTTTGGAATCATTGCTCATCTCTGCGTGTTATATATTAGCAGTAGGCTATTTTTTAATAAAAAAATTATGGATAGACCCACTGTAGCAGAGTGATGACCCACGCTCACAACACATTTACAAGCTTAGTGTCCGTTTTTAAAAGACACGGGATGGTTATCAAGATGTTTGTGCAGCCTGCCTCCTTTCAGATAAAATTAACTGTTCATTTTTATTTTAAAATATGACTTATTGAAATGTGCCTAACAAACAACGGTATTAATGCCTCCCTCACTTAATGCCTCCCTCACTCAAGTAGAAGCATTATGCTTTTAACAATAGTAAAACTTTCAAAATCCAGTTAAACCAAGAAAATACCTTTTATGGCATTATTAGATGGAAAAAAATAATAGTCTAGAGTAGGTTAGCAGGTCAGCATTGTGTCAGTAAATAAGTCAGCCTATCTGCTTTCCAAAAAGATTGTTTTTTTCCTGGTGATTTTATTTTTTGTTATTCAAAATAAAAATAATTTTTTTTTAATTTAGTTCTTTCTGTTTTTCACCATAAAAAGAACAACGAGTCATTTTTTGATTTTCGATATAAAATTTTAATTTAAATTAAAAAACGAAAATCAAAAAATGCACTGAATTAAAATTTTTGTTTTGTAATTTAAAAACGAAAATCAAAAAACGACTCGTTTTTTTTTTTTTTGGTTTGTTTTTCAATATCTGTTCCTAAAAAGAAAATCCAACCACCAAATGATACACTGACCCCTGACCGAGGTATTTCGGGTAATTCATGAGTACATACACTGTACACAAAAACCTTACTTAACCGGGTCTTTTGACATTAAAGATTTGCCACAGCTGGTTGGGTTTTGGGGTTGTGTTATAGGCAATATAATAAGCTGTTTTTAAAATTGCATTAATATATTAATCCTATCCTCATAATCCAGGGGTGTCCAAACTTGGTCCTGGAGGGCCGGTGTCCTGCAGATTTTAGCTCCAACTTGCCTCAACACACCTCCAAGAATATTTCTAGAAAGCCTAGTAAGAGCTTGATTAGGTAGCTCAAGTGTGTCTGATTGGGGTTAGAACAAAACCTTGCAGGACACCAACCCCCAGGATCGAGTTTGGACATGTCATAAACCAACAAAACCAACATTAAAGTGTGTAATATTAACACACAACATCAATAACAGTTTAATAGTGCATAATCTGCCCTGAAAGAATACTTTTGCTGCTTGTTTTAACTACTTTTTTTTAAACAAAGTTTTAACAACACAATTTGTTTTATGTTCAGTCCACTTAAATTTGTAAAAATGATTAAGTTAACTTAAATGATTTGTGTTGGGACAACATTTGTGGAACCCTGCATTTTTACAGCCAGTCTATTTTAAACTCCTCAGGTTGGGATCAGCTGTTTATTCTCCTAAAACGGGGATCATCCTCAATAATGAGCTTGTAGATTTCTGCAATCGAGCAGATTCTGTCACACCAGGTGAACATCCAAAATATATCTGCTTAAATTCAACGTGTTACAAAAGGTCTCGTCATCATATTGTGTGATATGCTGTTTTTTTGTATTCCTGCAGGTGAGCAGCCTCCGTCCTCCATGGCTCCTGCTATTCTGCAGTCTCAGCAGAAAACTCTGGTGATTGGAGGATCAGGAGGAAGCATGATCACTTCCGCCATGGCCCTGGTGAGCCTCAGGACTAGAGGAAGATGTATTTTTACAGCACATACTTAGCATTAATGAGTCGTCTTGCTTTTGAAAATGAATATATATATATATATATATATATATATATATATATATATATATATATATATATATATATATATATATATATATATATATATATATATATATATATATATATATATATATATATATATATATATATATATATATATATATATATATATATATATATATATATATATATATATATAGAGCAGAGATATTTTTTAGATAATCAACATTTATTCTACAAACACAACGGTTCATATTGTGAGACATCCACTGACTTTCATAGCATTTTCTTGTTGTTGTTTTAAAATAATAGTTCACCCCAAAATTAAAATTACCACATAATTTACTCAAGACATCTTCGATGTATATCAGTTTTTTTCAGTCTGACAAACACAGCCGGGGTAGTTTTAAATTTTATCCTTGCTCTTCCATGCAATATGATATTAGATAGGAACTTTTATTTTGAAGCTTCAAAAATTAATCATCAAATTAACTCATATGCCACCAGGGAGTTAACATACGTCTATTAAAGCAGATTCACATAATTTTGTAACAGAAATATTTAACATTAAACTCTAAATTACTGACTTCTGGCCATGACTAAATGCACGTTATACGTGACTAACGTTTACGCCGTTTTACATTTTTAATATTTACGTCATTTTAATAGTAGTATACTGGATAACATCATATGGTAACGCCAAGCCAACTAGTTTTCTTATTCATCGTCATCTTCTGTGGTAAAAACTGTAGTAAATGTTTCCTGCATCTATTCCCAGAGCTTCCGCTATGAATGCGTGTAACGCCGCATAAGTCAGTCATGCATAGCGTAAATTCGGCCGCCTCTATAAATGATTGGGTTTTATAATTTAAAAAAAATATATATATTTCTGTTGCAAAAATGCATCAATCCACTTTATAAGACATGCGTAAGATATACAAGTTAGTTCGGCGACAGATTTACGTTTTTTTTTTTTCAAAATAAAAGTCACTATCCAACACCATTATAAAGTATAGAAGAACCAGAGTTAGATGTCGTGATTTAACAGCCATAATCTGTTTTAATGCAGTTTTATAAAGAAAAAGCAAATTAAATGCAATTAAACTTCTGCTTTAATCTTAAAAAAGTAAGGTTTAGTGAAAACAAAGTGACATTTTAGTGTGTGCGTTCTGCAAATCAAGATTAAAACACATGATATCTTGTTTTTAACAAGCATACAGACTTTGTTAAAGCTGTATTACACTATTATCATGCTGATGTATGTCCTAAAATCTTTTACTTCTTTGACCTGTGAGCACATTTTATGATAAAAACACAGTTTCCACTCTAGATTTGCATGCAA